TTATTTATTTATCTGTAATTGTATGTATGTATGTATTTTATCAAATGCTGTAGTTAGTTCATTAATACTGTTCATTGTTTAAATTAAAAAAAAAAAAAAAAAACATTTTTTATTAGTAGACTTCCATTCAAATTAATGCCATTGCTTATTTGCGTCTGTCTGTGCATGTGTGAGTGTTTAAATAAACGGGAAATAATAACAAGAATGCGCAGAATGCGTGTTCGGACGGAGTAATTATATTTATACGTATATAAATTTTTGGTTGGTTTGTGCTATATTTGCAGTAGATTTATTCAAATAAATTTCAGTCACAAAAAAAAGGGGGAAAACATGACTTTAATATACAGGTATCCCTTGTATACCGCGGTCTTGTACAACGCGGTTTCGATATAACGCGATTTAGAAAAATTAGGTTTCAGTACAACGCGAAATTTAGGCTTATATAACGCGAAAGGAAAAATACATAATTATAACGTGCAAAGATCTTAGAAGACAGGGAAACAGATTAATTACCACATGAAGTTTGAAGAATAACAATAAAGTTTTTAATAAACCTTTAATTTGTTTTGGTTTGTTTTCAAATTATTTAATGTGCACATCATTATTTAAATTATGTTTTTTGAATTTTGAAATATGTATGTATTATTATTCATATCTTGTGTTTGTATTGTATAAGAAAGTCTGAACTTTAGTATTGAGTTGAAATATATGTATGTGTATCTGTGATTTTGTATATATTTTATGTAAAGAAAACCCTATTAGAACATAACCCCCAAATTTATATGAAAACTATGTTTTAGATAACGCGGAATTACATAACGGGCAATTCTTCTAGAACGCAACTATCGCGTTATACGAGGGATACCTGTATTAAAATATTGTAAGTGAAAATTTAATTTGCTTTACAAATTACAACCAAGAAATATACAAAATAATTATATAAAAACAGTTTGGTCAACGCTAAATTGTTTTTGAAATTAAATTAAAAAAAAAATTAATAATAATACAGTAGAATCCCGACAATTCGAAATGGTAAGGGCTTAAGCCACGCAGAGATTTAAATTATCGAGAATTATTGAGAACGATTTTCTTTCAAATGGATACAATTTTTTTTTTCGATTCGATTCGATTTTTCGCGATTTTTTTGGCGTACGACTTATAGAAACTCGACTGTAGTTATAATAAATGATATAGAAAAAAAGTTAAATTAGAGCATTCACATGATAGACAAAATGTTGACGTCTCTTGAAATTAACTGTTTTCCCATATTTTATCTTAAATTTAAAATTAAATATGTATGTGTATGTGAAAATGTGCTGTCCGATTGAGCTCCTCATTTCTGGCATTGATCGATATACAAATTTGATCGATAGCATTTATCGGACATCAACTAGAGATTGTTACTTTTGGCATTTAATCAGATTCGTAACTGTATTTCTGAAAATATTTCTTGCATTTGGATTTACTGCTTTAGTCCCGGCTCAGCTTTTATGATGCTGGCAAATTCTAGAATTATTTTCTATTTGTGTTTTGATTTTTAGTTATGTCATTACTTGTTTGTATGTGAAAAAAAATTGTTTAAAATTACATTTAATTGTGTACTTTGTGCACATTTTTCTTTATATGTCTCGATTTCTAATTATTAGCGCATCTACATTTATCTTTTCTTTATTTATTTCTTTGCAGCCTCAAATCAGTTTGTCCGTATGCATTTTGATTGACACGCGCATCCGCTTATACAACAGAGTGCTGGGTTGTTGAGTGGCCAGGAGGAGGGTGAAGGGGGGGGGGGGGGTTAGTGACGTGGTTGTGGGGCGTTAATTTCAATCAGCAGAAACAGCAACTGCAACTGAAACAGCAACAGCAACGGCAGCAATATGAACGACGGAATAAATGCCGGAAATGCTTGCCACAAAATTTGTAGCAGCAACAAAAATTAAATTAACATTCAACATCAAAGTTGCTACCAGAGTTAGCGCATGTGCGCGTGTGTGTGGGTGTGCGTGAGTGTGTGTGGCAACTAAGTCTGCGGCTGATGTCCGGTACTCGCTCTAAGCCTGAAATTAAATTCCAATTTAATTGAGCTGCAAAAAACATGGAGCAACGAGTGCAACGAGCCTTCAGGGCAACGACTATTACAGCGGCTCGTTAGACCACACAAATGGACCCACACATGCACACACACATACGCACACACACGCATGCACACATAGGCACACACATACGCTTGGTAGTGGCTTGAGAGCGTATTCAAACAGAGATAGCTCCCAGAATACATATATTGTCGATGCTTCAGCTATGTATGTACACATATGCAAATAATCGCATGCATAATTAAATCTAACTTTTTAGCTGCTATTGTTTTCATTGTTGTTGTGGCTGCTGTTGCACTTGGAGTGAGATCGTGAGATCATCGACTCTCTAGTCGCTGCGACTGCTATTAAATCCGGGTCGAGGCGCATTCCTTAATCTACCATAAAACCAGGCTATAGAAGTTAACGTAAAATAATGGGAATTGAAAAAAAAAAAATAGTAATAGCTGATTTGATCGTCGACGTGTGGCAGGATCCAGGGTGACCGCTGCTGCATGTTATTACGTGCTGCCACTAGCGCTGCCTCGGTGGGCCAGCAGCAACACGAGCACCGCGAGCAGGCCGATGAGCGGGGCGCTGGAGTTACCGCACCGCAGAGCTGCCGAAGGATGCGCTTGGGTCTGGCGATTGTAGGGATTCTGTTGGTTCTGGTTCTGGTACTGTGGCGGCGGCTTGTTGTACATGTTCGCATTCGAGTGGTGGGTCTGGTAACCCTGGTAGTTACTGCCGTATGGCGCCAGACCGCCGCCGCCGCCTCCGAGGATGCCCATGCTAGAGCTGGGCATGCCGACGCCGGCACCACCGCCCCCGGGCGGCCCACCAGTGCCGGCCGGTCCAGAATAAAACGGCAGCTGGCCAAATACGAACGCTGGATTGTAGGGGTTCACCGGCTGCAGGCCATGCATGGGATAGCCCGGGTTGAGCACGCTACCTGGATGATTGGGTTGGGGAAACTGTTGAAATGATGGCGCTTGCGTTGGCGAATTGTATGGAAATATGGGCATATTGGGTATGATGGGCATATGATGCTTAGCCCCGAACACGTAGTGCTGATCGATGCCGGTGGCTGAGGCGCCGGCGGCCCCGTTTGAGCCCTCGGCATTCGCAGCGTTCTGGCTGATTGCCTGGCCGCCGCTTTGGCCGCCCTGGCCACCATTCTGATGGCTGCCCGATAGTTGCTGGTTGCCATTCGCGTGCCCACCGTTCTGGTTGTTATTGTTGTTATTGTGATTGCTGTGACTGAAGTAGGTGTAGGTGTTAAGAGTGGGATTCGATGAAGCCGGCGCGAATATTTTATTCTCGGGCCCCGTATTCAGGCTGGATCCTGTTAGTAAAGCCATTGATGATTGCCATTGCCACGAAGTGAGCGAGCAGTGTGAGAGAATGAAAGAGATATACAAATGTAAGACACTTGGTTAATCAGCGATGACCGATCAGCCAACTGCAGCCGTGGCGGCAGCTGCTGCATGCGAGCGAGCGAGCCAACGCTAATTCACTCWCTCATCGCCAATCCCAGCAGCTGGGGACAGTGAGTGAGAGAGCGCGAGCGTTAGCTAGCAAGCGAGTAAGCAAGCTGATGAGCGCGACGCTTAGTTATGCATGTGTATGTATTTCTAGTGCTGTGCACCAGTCAAAAGCTCAGTGCTATAAAATGAGACAATGAATGCGGGCGAAAGTGCAAGTGTAATGAAACGAAAGACCAGATACACTTCAGTTTTAGTTCATCTTGGGTGTGAGTGTGCGTGTTAGACAAAGACAGCGCTTAGCATTGGTGTTTGCGTGAGTGTATTGTGTGGTTAGTAAAGCTCTAGCTGATTTGTGTATGTGTGTAGGTATTTAAATACGAAATCAGAGAAAATTAAGCAAATGATAATCCACAATTATCTGCAGTCAACTATAATGCATGTACATATACATTTTTGTACGCTTGTGTAACTGTCCGATAAGTCAGTCCGTCTCGTGTGCGGCGTTTGATCCGCCATCAATTTGGTAAAGCCCGCCAAGTACCCAGCCGCACAGAAAACAAAAATAATGAAACACAAGATAGAAATAAAAAGCTAAATAAATACCTGACGGATTAACCGACGACGACGAGGAGGAGGGGTTGGCCTGGTTGGTACTGGAGCCGCTCTTGCGCTTGCAGGTCGGATAGCTGCCGCAGTCCTTGCCATCGCGCTGATTGTAGCTGCACGAGTCGCTAGTGATGACGCACTCCTCAGTGGGCAGACACCCAATGTCGGCACAGCCGCGTCCATACTCTTCACATGCGCAAGTTAACGAAAGCGAAACCGCAGACACAAACATGGACAGAGGCGAAGTCGGAGGCGGGGGCGGATTCGGATTCGGAGACGGAGTCGGAGTCGGAGTCAGATCCGGTATCAAAGTTGGAGTCGGGGTAAAATTGGTGTTGGTGTTGGGGGAAAAGTGTTGTAGTATGTTTCGGGTTACGAGTTGGAGGATATTCAAAATAATAAAAATTATAAAATAAGACGTGGATGCGTCAGTTACGTATTTAGTTGTTTAACAATGTTGATCGTGATGACAGTGGAGATGATGATGACGATGACGATGGCGATGATGCATGATAAATTTGTACAATACGCAATTATACGGGAAAGAGGAAAAACAGAGAAAGAGACAGAAAGATAGACACGAAGAGACAGAGAGAGGCAGAGAGAGGAAGGAAGAAAGACACAGTTATAGTCGTAAAGAGAGGGAGACCGAGATTAAGCCAGCAGCTGAACTACTGGCCAAGCTCAAGTCTCCGGAAAGGAGCAGGTGAAAGAGTAGCGGGAAAAGTGGTATAAGGTGTAACAGTGACACGACGAACACGCGGACAACAAAATACAAACATACACAGATCTATATTACGTATACGTACTGGAGTAGGCGGCCACATGGCTCAGCTGGAGCATCGCTGCCACCAGCAGCATTAGGGAAAGGCGTGCCACGCCCATCTTCGATATAGCTGTATGCGATTGTCGAACCTCCCTTAGACGCCTGGATGTGTTTCAATTGCTCTGCTGTGTCGCTGTTGCTGCAAATAGACAAGGAGAACGTTGGACTGTTAGCTAGTTGCTGGCACAATTTAAAAACAACTTCTCATTGAATTGAAACAAGGCAAAGAGGGCAGCGGGGGTGTGAGTGTGGGCGGCAGTGGAACCTATTGGCAAGCCAAGTTTATTAATCACATTGACAGCTGGGCTCAAGTTCATTGCGGTTCTTTGCGTCGCAACGCAGAAGCAGAGCCAAACGCCGGGCTGCTCGCCAGAGGACGCTGACGCACACACCAGATGGCAACTGGCAGATGGCAGACAGAAGCCGACAGACGGCAGACGGCAGACTGGAGACGAGGGACGGAGACGGGACAGGAGAAGCAGACGTGCAGACCCAGTGGCGACGCATTTGTTTGGCGCAGTTTATCCCGCACCGCTCTCCTTCACTTAGCATTACTCGACTTGCCGCATACAGGCGACACGCCCACATACGCCCATCGCCCACCCCGATTCCGGTGGATATGGCAACTGCGCCAACAGCCACATTTGTTATTTCAAGTGTCAAAACCGGCGAAAGACAACCTCCCAGCGCCCTCAGTAGCCTCAACAGGGCACCACGCCCATCTTGCCACAAATAATCAGTGATTGAACAAATAATGTAAGACAAATGGCAAAATGATGCAAATGATAAATACACTTGACTCTGTTGAGGCCTGCAACAATCTGGAAGCTGCACCTCAGCTCAATATTTGAGCTAACACATACATAAATGACACTATGGCATATCCTAGCCACAACGAACACTTGTATTAGATGTATTGGAATATTCGATAGCCTGCAATTATATAATACTCGATAGTCTGCGCGTTATCTGCCGTCATCCCATCCCCCAGTTGCAGCGACTGACGAGCGGCTGATAAAAGTGCAATCCGAGCCTAGCAATAGCTTAAGCAATCCAAAAAGGGAGACGTGACTGAACATCTTGCACTTGTATTAAGATTCACATGTTAAGTATATAAGACTAGTATTTTATGGGAATAAAGAGGTCAGTTCAAATTTTAAATTCGGCAAATGTAGACGTACATAGCTTCAAAACAGGGACTCATGATTCCTATCCATAGCATATGATTACAGCTCTTCAGCGAACTATACGAAAAGAACATTATCAAATGCTCTATGAGTCAGAATGGGAATTCATTAAAATTCTGGCGCCAACTCAAACTGCAACTCAAACAGAAGAAATGTTTATCTGCTGCAAATGAATTGTGGGGCATACTTTTGAGAGTTTCCTTCTCGATTTTCGACCATTTTTATTTTATATTTGGTATTTATTTTGCATGTTTCGGCATAAAGCGCAGAGGTGTAGAGCGAAGAGGGGAAACTTCGCAGCAAATGAATATGAAAATGAAAAGAGCATTGTTGGCCAAACGCAAACGCATAAATTGGGCGTCTGTCGATGATTTGTGGAGCGCTTCATTTGTCCCATAGCATGCTGCAATCGCCCCCTGAGCCAGCAGAGCCCGAGTCATGGCCAGAGCCTTGACAGGCGGCAAAGAGTGGAGTTGCAGCTGGAATACGGAGGCATTGGACAGGCCAAAAAGAAGAATGCAAGTGGAACTGACACTGAAATGTGTTTTGTGTGTGTTTCGGTTTTTCGTTTTTCTTTATTCTCTATTTTTTTATTTTTGTTGGCCTGTGGCAAGAGCAGGGCACACACATCATTTGAGCTGCTTCTGATCATGTTTTTGCCCCTGCCTCCGGACTCTGCTGTTCCGCCGCTCCCACTCGACGCGCAGTTGTCCATCCGCTTTCGTCTGTGCTGGGCCATGTCCTGGACGGACGGCACGACGGAAGCCAAAAGTGGAAATGCATGATAAATGACACAAGCTTTTGCCCACTTTTTGCCCCAAACTTTAGCGCTCTTTCTCGCTTCGCAGAGCTGTGGGAGTGAACGCACACGGCACAGCGGCAGCACCAGCCAAAGGAACAAATTTTTATTTTAAAATACAACACAAAACTGGACGAAAATTGTGAAACGATGACGTCGTAAATGTTTTGTTGCAACACACTGTGTGTGTGTGAGTGTGTGTGTGTGTGTGTGTGCAGTGAAAGAATCACACAAGTATAAAAAGAAGCAAAGTAAACTGGCCGCGAAACGGAAACTTCAGCTAAAACAACTGCAAGGGGCAACCAGAAAACAGAACGAAACACAACATAAAAAGAAAAGCACACAGTGCGGGAGAGAGATGGAGAATGGCGCAGTGCAATGTCGTGCAAGCCGGCCAGCAGGAAACCTGTAATGAGCTACCACAATGAAAGAGGGAGACGGACATATTTTGAGAGCGGAGAGAGAATACGATAAGATCAGATAAGATGATCAGATAAAATGGTGAATACAACAAAATCAACAAAACTGAATCGCTCAATACAAGCTGCCTCTGTGAGGATCCGATTGTTGAATCTCTTAGTAGGAAGTTGGTTTAGATGGAAGTCAAGTTTTAGTGGCTTTATGGAGCAACAGATGAAACTGCCTTCGACAATAATTCAGCTGCTAAGCTGCGATTTCACTGAAATCTCCTCTAATCGATTTAAATAGCTCAAAAGATTAGGTGATCGAGTGACAGATTAATTTCGAATGAAATGCTTATCTGAGTTTATTAGCATTTGCAGGGCGAAATACTTAAATCTTATTAGGCATTAACTTGTTGATTTGATCCATGACAAATAAATAGAAATTTATTGAAAATATCGTCTATAGCAATGTGATATGTATCGATATTCAACATGATAGGAGAATATATCATATCTATGTGATAGTTACAACATCTACGAATTTCCCTTGACTTTCAATTGGAGTATAATTCCAGCGCATTGGGTACGAAAAAGTTTGTACCCAACAAAGTAAGGCTAGAAACGATTAGTTGGGAATATGTCAGCTACTTGACTTATACTTAAATATCCTGGGCGCTCTCAATGTCAATTGCCGGAAAGAGGCTACTGATGTCAGCGCTTTCTTCCTCTCAAATGATTTTGCTACTCATCTGCTTGAAGTAGTACGAAATGTATCACCAACAATTACATAAGCTATAAAAGTGCCCAGGCCTCATCGGAATGAGGTAGGGTGCACATAAAACCCGGACTGCCGCGCGCTGTTTCGCGAGGCATAAACCGAAAATTCACACTTGGTTACTTTCTTCATGACTTTGGATATTATTGTGGTTTATGTTAGTGCCTGTCACTCGCCCCGGTGCCTCCCCGCTGCCCATCGCTGTCCCCCACTGCCCCAAGCTTCGCTCGCTCCCCAAAGCAGGCACGCCCTGACGCTCACAGCGACAGCCGCATGTTGTCTGCCGCTGTGTGATGTATGACTCCATGAAATGCGATATATTCATGTTGAATTATTTTTGCAAAAGCGAAAAAATGCCCAAGCCGAAGCGAAGCGAAACGAAACGAAACGCAACGCAACGCAATCGAAACGCGAACTGAGATGACAACGAGAACAGGAATCTGAATCTGGGCGAGAGCCGTTGGGCGAGGTGAAAAGTTTGAGCTTAAAGTCGGCTGCTTAAAGCGCAAATGTTGCACTGCAGCAAGTGGCGCCCCAATGTGGCAGTGGTTGCTCTTGATGCAATTGAGCAAACAATTAAAAGTTTTAAATATTGTGACAGCATTTTTACAGTTAATTGCACAGCGAAGAGCGAAGCCCCAAACCTCTCGCCGCGCCTGTTGCACGCAGCTGCCAAGTTCATTTGTAACTTGCCACATGCCACCTACCCTTCCCCACCTCTCCTGTTCAGTCCCTTTTCCGCCATCCCTCTCCCCTGTCCAGTCCATGTAGGTGGGCAACAAAATAAAGTTTGGCTTTAGTTTTTCCTGACGTAGCACGATTTAATTTTCTAGTTATTTTCAGCATTTCCCCCACCGACACGACGCGGAGCTGCGCCTCCAATAGCCGAATGGCAACTGGCGCAGCTGCAATGCCGCTGGCGCCTGCTCACGAACTGACAACCATTTGTCATTACCGACAGGCTGGCTGGGGGCTGGCGCTTTTTTTGCAGGGTATTGGCAGGCGGCACATGTTTAAAGCGTTTAACAAAAAGTTTAATTAGCAAATGTCGCCAGGCCGGTTCGAGCTAGGGTTGGTGAGGCGTGGGCAGCTGTTGGAGTCTGTGGGGCTGTTGGTGCCCCGAATATGACCCTGCAATTCAGACATATTAAATTCCAGGCTGCAAACAAGGGAATTTCAATTCGTGGCAAGCGCCTCGGGCACACAATTTAGCTGACTACCAAAAGGCGAAAAAACGAAGCAAATGCAAAAAAAAAAGCAAATTCCGAAAAGCAAATCTTTGTAAGGCAGTTAATTAAAAACTTGAATGTTCAGGGCAGCGGATGTGCGCCAGGGTGAGGCTACAGAATATCACTGTGTGTGACTATATGTGTGTGATTGTGACCATGTGCGACAAAAGACTGCCCCAAAGCCCAAAGCAAACCAAATAGCTAGCAGAAGAGCAGCCATAATTGAAACTTCAGTTAGTTGGCACACTAATTGAAATGAACCAAACAAGACTCCCAGTAAGTACATTGTGCAAAGGAATCTCCATTACCTATTGACGAGGATAAAACACTTCTACAACACTCAAATCCAATTCAGGCGTCTGCTATGAGAAGCGTACGAATTGATCAATCAAATTGATATAATTGAACAATGAGAGTGAAGCAGAGTGGAAGTACGCTATATACATACATATTACTAATATAATAATACTTTTTTAATACAAATTGCAAATAAAAGTTATTTTTAATAATTAAAAATATATTGTAGGAGGCCTTTATTTCTTCACTTTATTTGCACATCTCTTGTTTTCTTAAAATTAAACTTAACTCTCTTAGCTTTTAATTAACTCTGCCGATCTTTCTCTTCTTCTTCTCTTGCACATAAGACTTGGCGGCCAAGTATCCACCTCTTCTGCCATTACTCGTAATGGCACGCCAAGTATTCACCTCCTCAGTCATCGACAGATGTGTATATATCGATGGTTAATCATAGTGCTAGTCCCTCAAATATTAT